AGTTGACATTAAAAACTAATCACTGGGGCCAAAGAGATGGCTCAGCAGTTAAGAGCTTTGGCTGCTCTTGCAGAGGACCCAGGTTCGATCCCAACGCCCACATGGTGGCTAACAACTGTCTGTAACTCCAGTTCCAGGGGGTCTGATGCCTTCTTCTGGCCTTCACAGGCACTGCACACATAAATGAAATAATTTTTTTTAAAAAAAACTCTAATCATCACAAGTGGTTGAAGGTTAGGGGAAGACAGGAAGGCGACACAAGTTGTTTGTCTCTTCACTTTGTTTACATTGCCCATCGGGAAGCTAAGCCACTTCCTTCTGCACTTTTTAAGTGGCTTTCTTATTTCTCATACAACCTCTATGATTAGGTAAATATCTGCTCTGTTGCATTTCCTACTCTCAAGTCTTTATTCTATATCCTTGAAAAAAAGACAGTTATCCTTGGCTGGTTCTGCTGAGAAGGGGTGGCATGGGGTGGGCACAAGGAGTTGAAATGAAAAGTTTTGACAGGTAAGAAACAAAACTTTTGTTCCCCTTTTGAGGGAGAGAGGTAGTTACATACTTGTGCCCCAATTGCCAATTTAGAGGCCTGATTATATACATATTTCTATATGTATAGTCTATGATACTTTAAAGTCCTAGATAGATTCCTATTACCATTATCAGGGACGTTGAACCTAATTCTAAAATTCCTTTAAGGATGGCTGAGAGAGCACAGACAGCAGTTCAGATGATTTGAGCACAGTAGTCAATCTTGGGCTTAGTCTTCTTATGAGAGTTAAGGCATGATGCATGGTGAGGCACAGACTGAGTGAGGCCCAAGATGGCAAACAAACCTCAGTGAAGTAGACTTGACCTATTTTAGTTAGAGCATCACACAGCTAGGCATGTATGTCATTGAGAGAAACAAGCCAGGGCACAGTAGGAAAGTTTAATACCCTCATAATTACTTTTGCGTGTTCTTAAATTAAGATCCTCTATTGGTAGAAACTCCAGACAGGATCTATAGAATTATTAATGCTTTCCTCTGGTGGGGCTCACTTTGTCCTGAATGGATGAATCCAGGGGTCTATTCGTATAAGCTTCAATGCAGTATGGGTCATTAATGCATCACTGGGCCCCCTCTGCTTTTCAGCCAGCTGAAAAGGCCCTTGGGCTATCCAGACTTTTAGCAGCACCTTGTTTGTGGGATATAAAGGGTGCCGTGTGGGTCTGGAGAAAGCAGACTGATGCAATGGCTAATGTCTGACTCAACTGCTATATGTACTGTTTAATCCTAGCTTCATCTTCTAATGTAAAGTGTAGGTCACCCACCCAAACACAATTTCAAAAGAACATAACGGGAACTGGAGAGATTGCTCAGTGGTTAAAAGCACATCCTGGTCTTCCAGAGTTAGGGTCCCAGTACTCACATTGGGCAGCTTACAACCACCTGTGACTCCAGCTCCAGGGGATCTCATGCTCTCTTCTGGCCTCCATGGGCACTTGTACTCATGTTACATACCCACACATAAGTAAACTGTTTTTTAAAGTTTAAAAAAGGGACTTGAGTCTACCTAAAGGGGCTACCTGAATTCAGAGCCAAGCAATAGGCAAGACTTTATCCCATTTTAAATGAATCTCCTGGCAAAGTTTAGCCAGTACCATTCTATAAAGTTATGCTTCATCTTTTGCCCAGTGGATGGGGGTCTTTAAAACAAATATAATATCTAAGTTATTTTTTACAAGCTTGACTCACCTTTAGATGACCCCAGAAATAAAAGTCAATCCATTGTCACTTTGAATAGAACTCAGTAGTCTAAACCTAGGAATAAGTTCTTTGAGCAAAATTTAATCAATTCTGTTCTCTTTATTCTAATACAGTCCCACCCTGAAAGAACAGACACAAATACTAGTGAAAATATTTTAAAAATAAAGTGCTTTCTAAGCCTCCGAGTGAGAGCTACACTACACATCAGTTTAAAATTTTATCTGAATTTGTAACCTTTCCCAGACATGGCTGTTAATAACATTTAGGGGAAAACAGTGCCATGAAATAGTGTTGGGAACAAATTAGAAGGAAGTAGTTAATAGAGTGCTAAGTCCTGTGTCAATCATTGCCCTGAATAGAAAATTAGAAACTCTCTTTACCACCCATGAGCCTTAAATTACATATCTCAATGACTTGTGGGGTCTGAATAACTAGATTCTTCATCTCAAATGTTTTATATACTACACAAAAATAATTTACAGCAGCAAAGAAAGGCAGTGAAACAAAAACTTTAAATCTATTTTTAAACATTATCATTTGAGTCTTGATATTCCTAAAGCCTTGTTAAAATCACCTGTCATAATTCCCTTTGATACCCATTCATGAAATTGAGTTTCATTTTAAAAAAATCACACAATAAAGCCAGGCGCAGTGGTGCATGCCTTTAATCCCAGCACTCAGGAGGCAGAAGCAGGCAGATCTCTGTGAGTTCCAGGCCAGCCTGATCTACGTAGCAAATTCCAGGCCAGCTGGGGCTACTGGGAGACCCTGCCTCAAACAAAAATCACACAAGAAAAGGAAAGTTAAAGTGATTTTAGAATGCATAAGGAAGAAGAAAAAAATAGCCAAGGCAGTTTTGAAGTTCAAACGGGAGAGGGAGAGCATTTTGCCTACAAGCAGAAGGACTATGGACAATGACAGAGGTGGCACTACAGATCATTGGAGAGACTAACTGTCAACAAATGGTGCTGAAGTAGTTGATGATCCAGGTTGTTAAAATCCACATGAGCTAGGCATGGTAGTGCACACCTTTAATTAGAGCATTTGGGAGGCAGAGGCAGGCAGATCTCTGTGAGCTCAAGGCCATCCTACTCTATATAGTGAGTTCCAGGCAGGGCTGTACAATGAGGCCCTGTCTCAGTCAGGAGCTGGGGAGGTAGGTCAGCAGTTAACCACACTTACTGCTCTTCTAGAGGACCTGAGTTCAATTCCCAGTACCCATGTCAGGCCTTTAATTAGAGCATTTGGGAGGCAGAGGCAGGCAGATCTCTGTGAGCTCAAGGCCATCCTACTCTATATAGTGAGTTCCAGGCAGGGCTGTACAATGAGGCCCTGTCTCAGTCAGGAGCTGGGGAGGTAGGTCAGCAGTTAACCACACTTACTGCTCTTCTAGAGGACCTGAGTTCAATTCCCAGTACCCATGTCAGGCGCATCAACCTGTAACTCCAGCTCCAGGGGATCAGATGGCTACTCCTGGCCTCTATGAGAACCTGCACACACATCATAGAAAGAGAGAGAGAGAGAGAGAGAGAGAGAGAGAGAGAGAGAGAGACAGAGAGAGAGAGAGAGAGAGAGAGAGAGAGAGAGAGAGAG